GGCTCCAGCTGTGAATATCTCTTTAAAATGCTTTTTTTTTTTTTAATTTATATATTTTTTTTGAGCAAAAATTTTGCTATTTTTTCCAAAATTGGGATTTTACACAGCCTCCAATACTGTAAAATTTCTCCAGAAAAGTGGAGTCTGTGTATTACAGTGAGCATTTTTTCAGCTTCTGTTAACTAGCATTACAAAACACTGGGTATAAGCGTGTTGACGTTAAATATTTTCTGAGAAGCCAAACATGAAGCTGAAAAAAATATGATTATGTTTGCTTAATTAATTGGTAGAGTTTGTGTATTTAGCCAGGTATTGTTGCTGAATGAAATTATGCTGTTGGGAATAGGAATGCAGAATCTCCCTTGAGCTAGTGTTATCAGGGGGTACATGCAGCCCAGGTTACCACCTAATGGACTATTTTAAATGGCATTTCCTCATCAAAATGTGCCTGGTGTCTTTGTTTGCGGGAGCTGTATGGTCAAATATCTCATGTCTTTCATCTCTCTAAACCAGTTTTGGCTTACCTGAAGGCAAGATGGTTTCCCCAGCTTGAAGGGGGAAATCTTGTGTGGAAGTACTGTGTGTGTCCTAATGAGCTTCTGGGAGAGGTGGGGGTTCACACCAATAGTCCTTAACCTTTTTGTAAATATAGTCCTTTCAGTTTTTGTAAATAAGATTGAAATCCCACATGGCTTCATTCCATGTGGCCTTTGTGCTGCTCAGTCCTTTGGGTAACTCGTACAGGAGAGGGATCTGGGCTACTCCTGCCTACCAGGAAATGTATCAGCCTTTATCAAAGCATGGGGCTTTCATGGAAATGGATCAGATGCCCAGTGTACCCATGGAAAAGTCTAGCTTTCTTGGTAAGACAAGCAAGGAGCTAATTAAGGGGCAAAATCATTTAATGAATGAGTTCTAAAGAAATACAAAGAGTGAGGTATTTCAGACCAAACTAAGTATGAACTCCTGCAAGCAGCTAAGGCTTCTCCAGTGGTTCTGGAGAATTAAAATGCTCTGAAAGGTCTGGTCCAGCCCCAGCCTCTCTTCCTCTGTCCTTTCTGATACAGAACAGGAGATGGGAACAGCAGTTTTCTGAGAGAGCGAAGACGGTGGATCCTTTTGGGTGAAGGGCAGAGGGAGGCACGTTTGGGAAGGGCAGGCAGTGGGAAACCACATGGATCAGCACATCCCCTGGCCTCTTGTCCCCCTTCTCTTCCCAGTCACCAGGCACAGCTCTGTGCTCTGCAGAGCCCAGTGCAGCCAAGGCGGCGGAACAGGCTAATTAAAAAGGCAGCCTTTAAAATGCCAGCCCCTGGTTGCTTGGAAATGGAATCTAACTATGGTATTATTTTTGAGCTTGGATTTTTGAATCTAAAATTCCATGTGATGGAAGAGATGGGTATTTAAACAGATGTCTGCAATTTCTTTAAAAAACAGAGATTGAGTTACAGATGGTAAAAAGGGCCTGAGAATTAAAAACTCCTGAGGAACAAGGAAATTGACATGTGAGCAAAATGATTTGCTGAGATGAATGGTCCCGCATGTCTTCATGTTTGAAAAATAAGCTTATTTCACCAAAAATATGAATATATTTTCCTTTCTGCATTGTCTGCTTCTCTACTGCAGCCTTGGCCGTCACCATCATCGACCAGCCAAGCTGATCGGGAAGGTCCTGTTTCTAACATGCAGGTTTTTCCTTCTCTTGTCTCTCGCACAGATTGGCCTTCCAGGAGCAAAAATTTGGATCTGAATTAGTTTAAGAGGAAAATGAATTTACCCCATCTGTATATTTGGTTCCTGATTACTCTCACTTCCATTTTATAAATTACAAATAAACGGACTTTCATGATGTTGGTCTGAAAGGAAACTGAAGTCCTCATCTCTACTTGCAAATGAAATTGATTTTTTTTCCTTCTCTTCTGGTTTTGAAAAGAAAATAACCAAAATAAACCAAAATAAAAAAAGGGAAAAAGCAAATAACTTCTAATGCAATCTGTGAAGTGCAAGGAGCTGCACGTTGGAAGGGAAAAACTGAACACATTTGGGAAGTGCTGGGGAGCAATTCAGTATCCACACATCAGCTGGGAGAGTTGTATGTTACCGTGAGGAGCTGATATTTGTGTATTTTACAGAACAACCTTTTGAAAGTTAGATAGAAACCACTTGTACTCTCTCTATTACTACACTTAGATACAAGCTTCCTGGCACCAACTTCTTATACATGTAAGAATCAACTGCAAAGAATAATAAGAGAACATTCAGCCTACTCTTTTATAGATGATTGACAAAATGGTTTTAAAAGTGGCCTCATCCTTGTCACTTTTAAAGACACAGAAAAGAGTCTTCAACGACTGCTCTGGGATCATTTTGGTTCATTTCTGGAGAGTGGAAAGGAGATCAGCTTTTGCCTTAGGAATCAGATGGGTGTCAGTTGTGGGGCTTTTCTGCCCTGCTGAGGGAGCTTGAAGGGCTCACGTTCGTTGCAATTGAAAGGACAAGAGCATTGGGTTGGGTTCTTTTTAAACCAGATAGATTATTTGTCCAAATTGTTTATTAGATATTCAATGAAGTGGAGTTTAACAACAAAAATCATAAATCTGAGCGTTTTCAGCAGTCTGGCTTAAAATGCTTTCCATTCACAGCTGCTTGTCTTTGAAATTTCATATGCAGTGATATTATAATTACATTAATTTTCCAGCTGTCAGGGGATTTTCAAAGCTGATTCTCTACTTCAAATGTAAAAATCAAGAATTCCTGGCAGCTTTTTTTGGTTAAACTTCTGGATAATGTTTCAAGATGATTATTCATCAAAGGGGAAAAAAAGAAAGGCAAATGGCATGGCTCTGTTATGGTAAAAAAAAGTATAGATTTCATTGGTCTCGTTGGAAATAAAAGGGGGGGGGGGGGTCACAGTATTGAGTATTTTATTTAATACTGTCTGCCATGGGAAATAAGGAGACTGCCTTGGAGTACAATTGTTCAAAATGACAAAGCAGCAGCTGCACTGAAATACAGTGATATATGAAATAAAGGAGGGTGGCAAAAGATGACAGTAGTGAGAGTGAGACTGAAGGAGAGCACAGAAATGCTGAAAGAGAGGGAGAGAGCTGTGTGCTCCACAGGCTGTACTGTGTGCACATGGAGCGGCTTTCTGAAGGGCTGTTCCTCTGCATCCTGCAGGCAGACACGGTGCCTTTAGGAGGCCAGTGGGAAGAGGAGGGACGTCTCATCTGAAGGACTTGCATCCACTTGTGGAATGGGGCTGTGCTTGGTGCTCAGCTTGAGCTGTGCAGGGGATCTGTGCCCCCTGTACTTTGGGTCTCCCCGTACCACAGCCCTGTAATATTCACACACGTGAATACCAAAGGAGGAGGGAATCACCACCATCCTCTGCTGGAGCCGGGTCAGACAGAAGCTTAAGAACTGATTCATTTTGAAAGCATATTTATAGTTCTCATTTGCAGAGATCTCAGAATACCTCAAGGAAATGGCAAACTATATTATACCAAACAGTGTGAATCAATGGGAATGATGCACAACTTAGGACTCCTTGTGGCAGCAGAGGAGTTAAGATGGAGTCATCCATAGGGCGATGGCTTCATGCAGTGCTGATGGGAACAAGTGGTTTGCACAAACCTCAGCCTTGCCCCACCCCTGGGGCTTTGCTACTGACTTCAGCTGGGGACAGAACTTTATCCTGTTTGGCACCGGCCAGGAGACCACAGTGTGCCGTGCTTCATAAAGGAGAATATCTCATCCTTATGGAGCAATGGAGGGAATTTCTGAAGAAATGTGGGTGTTTTTTTGTTTGTTTGTTTGTTTAGTATATGGGATTGCAATTCCATTTTGGCTCTCCAGACATCAAGAAAAAGCTGTCTGTCAGGGTGGGGGGCTGTGCTGGTGTCACTCTACACGGGGTTAAGCAAGCAGCCATAAAGCCTTTCCAACAACATCAAGACTTTCCATGAAAGAACGGATGAATTGACAAGAGATAATAAGAAAAGACAAAAATAATCACTCTTGCTGGCAAGGTATTAATTATAACTTTGTGTGGGAGAAGCTAAAATCCTCTCTGTGGACTGGGTGCCTTCTCTGGGTGCCAGGGAACAACTGTGCCTGCTCTGCCAGCAGCAGGACAGCAGGGCCACGGCTCTGTATGGATCTGTGTCCTGGGTCTGTCGGACAGCACAACGCTCTTCCACCTTAGGGCGATTTTGCCTTTAGCAGTAAGGAAACATCCCTCTTTATTTTCACGGAACCTAGAGGGAAGTAACGCGTGGCCACCGTGTGCGGCACTGCTTTGCAGGGCTGCTGCGAGGGCTGAAAGCCAGTCGGTGCCGCTCGTCCCTCTGCCGCTGTGCGTGGGGCTGGCTGGTGCGGTGCTGGCCGGGCCGGGGGGGTTCGGCCTGCCAGGGGCTGAAGCCGCCCGGTGGTCCCAGATCTCCTTGGGATCCATGGCAGGATGCGGGGATTTGATCGTTTCCCCGGGAAAACAGATTAAAAGCGCGAAAAGACACGGGCAGAGCCGGTTCCCTTCTGAGCCAGGAAATCTCCAGCTTGTGTTTCACAAGACATCCCCGGGGTCGGGGCCGGAGGGCTCTCCGGGCTCTCGGACCGCAGCCGGATCCGGTCGGCTCACGGCTCCACGCCATTCTCAATGTCGCGGCGTCGGGGCAGCGGTCCCGGTACACGGGACCCTCGGCAGCCACCCCCACAACTTCCCCCAAAGTTTTGGCTCCGGCACCCCCGAGGCGGACGGCAGGAGCCGGGAGATAGGGGCTGCTCCTTCCCTTCGGGGTTTCCACCTCTGCCGGGCACCTCCATCCCGGCAGCGCGGCTCCTGCCCGAGCCGGGGGCGGGGAACGGAGGGACCCCGGGGGCGCGCCCGCCGCTCCGCCCCGCTCCGCCCCACCGCCCCCGCGCTGCCGCCTGGCGGGGCGGCGGGTGCCGCGGGAGGCTGCTCGGTGCCGCCGCCGCCCGGGAGGGAGGTTATGTAAGGGGGAAGGGAGGCGGCGGCAGGAGGAGGAGCAGGACGCCTCGCCGTGCCGCCGCAGCCGGGAGCCGAGAGCGGGGCGGCCGCATGTGCGAAGTGGGAACCCGGCCGCCGCTGGCCGCCGAACGCGGGGAGCCGCCCGGGGGAGCCGCCGCCGCCGCCTCCGAGAGGTGCCGAGACATGGGGTGAGTCCGCCGAGCCCCGGCCCGGCCCCGCCGCAGGTGCCGGAGTGCCCTGCGGTCGCTCCGGGAGCCGCCGTTTTGTAGCGCGATTAATCATCTACCCGCGGTGGGAGCTCCCACCCGAGCCGCGCCGGCGGAGCGGCTGGAGCGAAACCCCCGGGGCCGGCGGTGCGGACCCACCGGGACGGGCGGGCAGCGCCGGGGATGTGCGGCGGGGAGCGGGCGGGGGTCCGTTGGGCAGCGCTCAGCCCCGGGCAGCGCCGTGCCGTGAGCCCGGAGCCGCCGGCAGCTGCCCGTGCCCCGCTCCGGCTGCGGGAAACGTGGCCGAAACTTGCCCGAACTGTGTCGGGCGTTCGGGGATCTGTGCAGATATCCTCCGTCCTTTTATTTCTAATCTCTGCTCGCATGCGGTGATCTCTCGCAGAATTCATCTCGAGTTTCCCCCAAAGCATTCGTGCCTTTCTCCTATCCTCTAACTTTAACGCGAGGACAAAAGCCGAGTGCCGGCGTTCGACCGGTGTGTGAGCTGAACATCGGAGCGGAGGTGAACGTGCTTCCTTAGGCTTCAGCCTAAAGGCTGGGGAGCCTCAGGACCAAAACGATTCGGGGGATTCCAAGTCCACATGCCCAGTTTGCTTTAGTTTGGTGCCATTATGCTCTCTTACACCTTTTTCTCACCCCCACTCCCCCCCTACCCTGTGGCCGGGTCCTGCTCCCCAGGTTCCGGGCATCCTTGTGCTGCTTTCAGTTGTGCAAGCTCCCCCTCGGGATTGGTGTGTTGCCATCACAGAGTGCTATAATTTGAGACAATATGGATAAATAATGAATTAAAATGCCATGCGTGTGCCTGAATTTGATACCCGGCAGCACTGAATAAAAATCCAGAGGCAGAGGGGAGAAATAAGATCCAAGTGGATGTCTCCTATTGTTTCACTGCAGGATAACAAGGGGCTCATCTGCTTCTTCACCGTGTAAAGTTCCACTAGAATTAAATAAAGTACCCTTGGGGTCCTAGAAAGCAGCATCATGATGCACTTGCTGCTGGGGCAGTGCAGCCCTGCTGTATTCAGGCTGGGCAGCAACACCTGGCCGAGGGAAGCCCACCTGTTCCCCTGCACCTGGGTGTCTCTAAGGGCAGGTGTTTGCTGTCGCTGTTTTTATCTGCTCTCTGTGCTGCTGGGTGAGCTCAGCTGGGAAGTGCAGTGAGGGGATGGAGACAGCACTCCCAACCCTGCTTGGTGCTGTGCTGCCCCAAGAAGGGCCCTGCGGTGCTGTGGGTGCAGGTTGGGCTGCACTCTCCAGTCTGGTTCGGTACCTCATTCAATGTGTGTGGCTTCAGTTAGTTCCTGCTGGTCTGATAGGGAGCTCATGCTCCTGACACCATTCATTCCCAGGGCTGCAGCATGGGCTGCACACACCGGTATGCTGTGTGCTGAGTGCAGACAAGGTGCTTTTTGCATGGATGTATTGGAGGTGTCTCACGTCATTACCTTGCCATTCACCTTTCTGGCACAGAGAACTTCAAGTCTTGGTAGGAGGGCTCGGTACACCTGGCCCGGAGCCATCTCCATCTCTGCCTGTGTGTGTTGCAGCCTTTCCTTCTGTGAAATGGGCACCTCTGTGCTCACCCAGCCCCGTGCTGTGCTGTGTGGGGCAGTGCAGAGCTCAGCCTGATTTGAAAGAGCAGATTTTGTCCCAGTGATTCCACAGGATTTGCTTCCCGGGCTCAATTTGGTGTCACGTGTGGGGCAGATTCCCATAGGAATTGCGGCAATAACTCGACTCCTAGCACTTAAAATATGTTATTATTATTTATTTTCTATTTCTGTTTTCTTCCTTTGGGGGTGACTGTTGCTAATGATTCATTTAAGTGCTTCCTATGGATTTGGCAGTGACGGATGGTGCTATGAAACCCGATAGAGCCACTCGAGCTCAGCAAAGCTATTTAAATTGCTTATTAGCTGTGAGCTGAGCTATTTAAACTGTTGTTTTAGTTCAGCTTAGTAGGCAGCAAGGTAGTGTCAAGTTTTACAAAAGTCATTCATGTGCTCAAAACCAACGAAGCCTGAAAGCCAGGGGATGTTGAAACAAAAAGTGTATGAGCAAAACCAGTCTGATACAGTGTCTGTTGTGTCCATGCAAACCATATCTCTGGGTCAAACTGTTGTTTGAGGTCTCACTATGCACTTTTTTTAATTTGTAGGGAAAACCTTCTTGTGAGTCACAGCGTTCTTGTACCCAACTTGTCTGACAGCTGCCAGCAGCTCAATAGCACAAGGGACTTAGCTTAAAAATAACACACTGTACCAAATTTCCAGTTGTAGAGGCTTTTGTCTGCAAATCTCTTGATTTGTGTGTTGGTGCTGCAAGCCAAGTGCAACCAAAGCCCAGAAGATGGGCAGCTTCTCTGTGGCTCCGATGTCCATGGGCTGTGTCCACCAATTTAACAGCCATCGTCTCATTTAGTTGACCTCAATCTGAGCAGTATAAGTTAACTTTTCAGTTATGAAGCTGCTTCACTTACAAGGTGATTTATGGAGGTATTGGCTTGCTGCATCCTTTGTGCTTATGCTCCTTTACAATTTTCATTTCTCTAGTATCTTTGCATTTCCTTATCTGTCAGTTACAAAATACTTCTTGTTATGAGGCATGTGACAAGTTTGGATTAGATGTGGAAATCACTGCTGCTGAAGCTGGTATTTATATTATCTGTTGGATTAAAATTCAGCTAATTTAAATATCCTCTGGCAATAAATTCAAGTTTCAAATCTGTTTTTATAAAACCATATCAAGTGAAAATCAGGCCTCTGAGTGCTAGAGATGACTGCAGAAAGCTGCCTACCAATATGAAAGCGATGTGAGTGTGGCTGTGTGTGTGCTTTATAGGTTAATGATGAATTAGCAGACATTTCTGCTGGCTGGTGTGAGGTGCTGCTCCGTGCTGCTGCCATGGGCACCCAGTGGGTGTCCCTGCCTTCTCTGCAGGGAGATGGAGAAGGTGAGGTCCCAAGCCTGGGTCAGGCACTGGATGGAGCAATGTCATTGCACAGAGCCTGGGTCCTGTGCACATCTGTGCCCTTCTTGTGGTGTTTATTATGATAAGGGGCACTTAGGGGCTGGTGTTTCTGAGAACAGTGCTTTTATTATGCAGTGACATTTAAGAGCACTTTCCCTTCTGCTGGTAGCAGCGTCCATCGGATGGATGGTTGCAAAGATTTGGGAGGTAAAAGTCTAAAGGGAAGAGAAGGGAAGAAAAAGGTAAAGGACACAAAAGAGGTGATGAAAATAGTGTTATGGGAGGATATTAATTTTGGATGCTGTCCAAGCTGGCCTTTCCCAGTACCCACAGCACTTCAGATACCATGGTGATAAGCTGCTGAAGAAGCTCTGAGGTGGGTAGTAGCATCCTGGTGCAGGGGATGTTCCCTGAGGCCTCCATCCAGTGCCTGCTGGGATCAGCAGAGCCTCATGCCCCCTCACGTGGTGCTGCTGCGGGGCTGATGTCCTTCAGCTGGGAGGGGGAGTCCTACTGCTCAGCTTCCAACTGGTGGTCGTGTTGGAGCTCAAGAGGCTGAGATCTGACAGACGCCACAGCTCTTCTTGTGATTCTTGAGGCAGCTGGCTGGGGGATGCTCGGTTCTTCACCGCCTTGCTTCCTTATGTAGCTATTCCTATTTCTGCGCAGTGGGGACGAATGGCTGCTGTTCCACTTTGCAGAATTCAGCATCTGTGTGTGCAGATAGAGGTGTCTGCACACAGTCCAGTGGAAAAGTCAGGTCCAGAGAGCTTCAGGTTCTGCAGCAGCATCTTGACTTCACTGAAATGGATGGGAGAACTCAGTTGACCTCAACAGAATGTATAAAACCTGTTCTTTGTAACTCCTTTCACATGTCTAATACAACTTTAATCAGGGTAGAGAGGCACAGAACTCAGGGAGGTGGGGGCAGAGATGTTTGGCTGCCATAAGGACGTGTGTGTCCTCGGCACTGCTGTGTTGTGGGGTGAGCCAGCAAACTGGGTTGTTCCAATGTTGGGGCATTCCCTCACACCTGCTGCTGGCTGGGAGCTCTCGTCCCTTCTGACACAGAAATGTGAGAGGTTTGTAATGCTGCAGATAAATGTGTGCAACCGCGTTAGTGCAAAAAATCCCAGTGCGAGTAAACCCACAGGAAAATAAGAGATTGGAAGAAATTGTGGAACAGACTAAGAGAAGGGGAGCAGGAAGACAGGGTGAATGAATGAATGACATGAGAAATAGACTTGGGGGTTCAGGAGCCTGTTCAGGAGACTGTAAAGTCTGCTAGAGAGAATGTCAGCAAAATACACCAGCACAAATCCACAACTGGCAGGAGTGCCCTGGCACACTCAAAGCCCAAGTTACTCATGCAGGCAGTGCTGAAGACAGTGAGCAAAAAGAAAACTTTAATGCTGAGAAAGTGATCGCAGCCAAGTTTCTTTCAGCTGCTAGCCTAATTAATCACTTAATTTGATTGCCGCTTGAGGACAGGCTCATAAATAAAATATCCTCCCTGAAGTTGGGATGTTCCTCTTCTATCTGAAAAGAGTAGGGCTAGTAAGTCTCCTGGTAACAAAAGCATCATTTGAAATGTTAAGAAGAGTTATTTGATGTTCAGCTCCTTTAACTGAAAGTAGTTTTAACTGGTTTGGGATGTGACGAAGTGTCTGAAACTGCATGAGTGGGTTTCCTGTATGGCTGGAAGGGACAGAGAGGAACAGTCAGCTTGCTGGGAACCCAAAGCATGGGCACCAGCCTGGTTTCAAAGCTTGATTTTCTGCATTGCTCTTTATTCACTCATTTGCTTGCATTAATGCAGTGCCTACAGTAAATAGCCTCACCCATGAAAATATATTTAAGGAAGCGTAAGTATTTTGAGTCAGCCATTGGTTTTCCTGTTGACTTTTTGATAGGGCAGTTGCTGAGTGGGGAGGCCTGCAGGGTGTCCCACGGTCAGCTCCGTGCCCGCTTTCACCTTGAGCGCCGT